GGCCACCTGCACTGGAACACAAAGCTGAATTTCTTAAGAGGCATTTGTTGTCCATCCCAAAGTGTTGGGGGCTGCAAAGAGAAAGTTGAAGGGATTTCATTTCTTCTCTTTGCAGCCTTCTAATGCAGACAGTCCTTTCATGCCTAGGGAAAGAGCCTGTACTGTTTTCCACCTATTGCCAGTCAGCCACCTGCACCTTTACCCAGTTCTTCTTAAATAGAAGGCCCAGACAGGAAATCAATAGTTCCAGCTTAGGGCAAGGGGAAAGGTCATTGGCTGAGGGAAGGATGGGGCATAGTGTGGAAGGGGCTTGTGTGGCTTCACAAGGAATACTTAGAGAAGCTAAAATATACAGCCCAGGACTCAGAGAGTGAGCCAGGGAAGATCTCCTGATTATTTCCTGGTGTGTCTAGCCACATCTTTTGGTATTGAGTCCAGATCCTGAGAGTACTAGGCATGCAAGGTGTCATCCCTACAGGGAGAGATGGGGGGTAGGGAAGACATAGAAATCTTGGGCTTTTGCTCTCCTCATCGGGGTACCATGAAAATAGAGTAGTCTATGTAAAGCTGGCCATCCTTATGAAGCCTCCAGCCCACCCAGGGTATACCTGTTACCCTAGAAACACTGTCCTTCTGGTTGTCATGCAGGACGCAGACTCTGGGAACTATAGAGACCCATGGTAAGGTGGCAGAGCCAAGGCCGTAAACCTTAGGAGGCCAGATCTGAGGAAGCTCTCTTGAGAACTCCACAGGACAGCTCCAGACCTTGCTCAAGGGGACAACAAGGTCCCTGGAAAAAAAGACAGGGGGTCAAGTGAAACAATCAAAAATGAGTTCAAAGAACATTGAATTGGGCAATCTGGGAAAAGCTGGTTAAGTCAGGAGAAATACAGGCCAATGGTTGTCAAGGTGAGAGAGAGGATGAAGCAAGCAGGATCACCAAGTTCAATTTTGAGGATTCTGAACAGGTTCTGATTACCTTGCCCAACACTCATTTAGTTAATACCCTCGTGTTAGAGGAGGTCTCTCAAGGGACCTGTCTAGCCACACCGTGGGCCACTTTACAGTGATTCTTTCTTTGGTCTTAAGAGAGAAAGAAGAAGCAGCAGCAGAAGAAAACACAAAAAAACCTACAAAAAAACACAACACACAGTTAACCACCTGTCAGGGCTGAGAATACAATGAGGCTCCTGAAAAAAGAGCTTTTCATGCATGCGTAATATATTTGTTCAGCTATTCACTTAATGAAGCTGATAAATGTGATGCCAGACAATAGTCAAGTTAATCTATTTAGTAAAATGTTTTGAGACTTTCAGGCTACGTTAAGGAGGGGAGCGGTCGGCGACATTTTCATTTAAATGCGCTCATCTCCTCTCTACGGCTACACAAGGGGTTCGAGCAATCTATGTGAATATAATTTCTTATAAATGTGTCTTTAATGGGTTTAATTCATCCTTGCCAGCTGTTTTGGGGGCTATTTTGTAAGAGCAAAACAAACGTGTCAGGCTTGGAAAGCTATTAAAATTAGTTTCGGTCAGCGAGGCCAGGCTATATTTCCTGCAGACCATCTGCTTGATTGGCACAATAGAAGGATTTTCAAGCAAAAAAGAGGGGAGTGAGTGTGAAAAGGATTGGGGTGGGGAGGGGGAAACACGAGAAAGGGCCCGGCAGCCGGTAGCTCCTTGTGGCATATTCTAAAGGTGAACCCCTTAGAGTTGCCTTAATAGAGAAGCTCGCAGAGAGGGGCTGCAGTGCTAGGAAGGCTCTTTCAGCAGCAACAGTCCTTCCCCACCCCGCCTGCTGCTGCGGTGGGCACTTCTGCAGCCGCCCAGGAACGCACCAGCCAGACTCGGCATGCTCTAACTCTGCTGAGTGTCAGGGAAGAGAGATAGCCTGAGGGTCCCACACCCGCACAGGGTAGGCTTAGGGACCCAACCTGCAGAAAACGGGACACGCTTTTAGGAGAGCCTGGAAAGTTCATGGCACCCTCTAACTTGCAGCATCCATCGCCTCACCTGTGCTCACCCTCGTGCCGTGTACTTACTGTACTCATGGGCAAGGATGCTGACGTTAGCCAATGCTACCTGGCTCAGGGGTGGAGACATTGGAGGACTGGGGCTGGGAAGGGGCGTGGGGGTAACAAAAGCTTGGTAGAATAAATTCTGGGAGCCTTTTCTACTGTACCAGGGAGAGACTCTCGGCTGCTTTGGCCTGGGCCGTAACCACCTGGGTGCAGGCAACCAGGACCTCCAACAGCCACTTGCAGTCCTCACCCCTCACTGCCGTCTTCTCTCCTCGACTCCTCCCCAAAAGAAATGGGAGGCTCAGCCTTAGGACAAAGCACGCGCATGATTTCTCCAAAATAGACTTGAAAATAACGACATTACAATGACTGGCAGGACGCACAGACCCCTCGGGCTGGGGTCAAACGGCATTAGTCACAGGTCTTAGGCGAAGCCGCCGTACTGCAAAGCTCTTCAGGCTCTGGCGTTCAAGGAGATCGCTTTAAAGTAAGGCCCTTCCTCCGATTTTTTGCTTCCTTAGGATTGTTTTGGCCTTTTCATGGGCGGCCAGCCCTCTCCTCTGCCCTCACTTTTCCTCTTGGGCGCAAAAAATAAAAGAAAAAAAAAAAAAACCACAGTTCAGGGCCGTCTTGTATAAGCAGAGAAATGAGCAGCAGTGGTCCAGAATGAGACAGAATGGCATGCCTGCGGGCGGGCGGGTGGCCTGTGTGCGTGTGTAGATGGGGACACGGTGTCCTCAATAAGCAGGGTAATAAACGGGGTAATAACTGTATCAGCACACCCAGGCAAATGTCCCAGCAGGGGCGGGGCCACTTGGGCCTCAAGTGCTTTCTGTCCCCTCCCCAGGCAAAACCCAATTTGATACAGGCTCTATGCCCCTAGGCCAGAAGCCTGGCCGACCACATCCTTGGACTGGAACACTGGGAAGGTTCTGTCAACAATCATTAAAGAGGCCAGGGGAAGGGAAGGGGAGGAAGAAGAGGAAGAGAACTGGTCCTATGGGAGTGAAAAACTGTTTAAAGGCAAACTCAGGTGCTCACGTGGTGTGGACTCACTTATTGCAAAAAGTCAAAAAAGGAGAACCTTGGAACCACACCCCTTACCAGGAACCTCCAATTAACCGGAGTAGGGAGTAGTACATCGCCCAGAGGTAAATGGCCACTCATTGAAACACTGCTCCTTTCTGGGTTGATTGTCTCCTGCTGTCCTGCTGCCCAGTCCTCCTAAAGCAATCTTGGGCTCATGTTGAAGTGTGAATTCACTTCCAGCATCCGGCCCCTAAATAACTTTTTAATTTGAATCTAGGGAGAGCTTTAGCAGGCTCTGTTTCTGGTTTAATGTGATATAAATCACAGATGCACTTTTATTGAATGGTTAAGGCAGCGACATGGAGATCATCAGCACAAAACGCTTCCAACAAAACCATCGAGAGAAATAAAGCTGGTTAATAAGATTTTTGAGAAAGCTTTGTGTAAAAAAGCAAAAAGGAAAACCAGCTGAAGGTGACAGTGAGTTCATGGTTAATAGGATCAGGGCGGCCTGGCGGGGCTGCACACTTCTCTTTGGGGAGGTTCAGCCACACTAAAGAAATGAATGGGACATTTAACACATCTGTTATCTCACCCAGCACCGAGAGAAAGCAGGGACCCAGGCTCTGTGTCACCACAGCCCCAGGCCAGAGGAAAGCGAAGGAATGGTCTCCTAGAAGATCTGCTTTGAGGTTGCAGATCTGGAGAGACCTTCCTTGTGGGCTAGCTTCTGGAACTTCCCCTTCTCCTGAATGCCTGTCTGTGTTGCATTAAGTTAGAAAGCTATAGAGCCTTGACCAAATGAAGCACCCCAAAAGGTAGGGCTGAAACTCCCTCTTTCTCTCTCTGGAACTGCCACTGCTCAAAATGTCTGGGCTGTGTGTTTTAGCTCACACTGTCCGGATCTCCTTGAAGTTGGGGAAAGGCCAGAGCCACTTGCAGTGTGGACAAGCCTTTGGGATCAGGGTGGACTGTAAGCAGGACAGCAAGGCGCCACCATCCTGACTTTGGAGAGCTGTGAAGTGCTCCTACCAGGAACTCCGAGAAACTTGGCTGAAACCTGCTTTCCAAGTTGCTGGGGATTTCTAAGAGGCTGTTTTTCACTCCTCCAGTGCCCCTAGTACACCAGTCTCCCAAGATAAAATAACCCATAACTCAAGTTGAAATCTTCCTTCTGCACTTATGGACACACAGTCGGCAGGGAGCCGCAAAACATGTTTTTAGCCCTGCCCTCACTTCTGCTTTGTGCTTGTACTGCAACAACCTATAGGGCTAGTGCATTTTCACTAACTTGAAATTTTCCATCGCTCCCCCATGCAAGGAGGGGAGGGTTATTTTACTGACGGCCCTGGATGATGTATTTCTATGAATATTTATTGATTTATTTTCTTGGCTCAGTAGGGGAGCTGCAAATAAATTTAGTGCGTTCTTTAAATAATTCCTTTTCTATGAGGCAAGATGTCATTTGAAACTTCTAAATAGGCATTTAATTAGCCCCGGCGTTGCTTCGGAACAAAAACCTCTGGCGAGAGCTTTGGGAACGCACTGTATCGCAAAGAGGCGGGCGGTATGCAGAATGGATGCGCGGGCCTTTGTTGCCTGCGCATTGTGCGGGCCATGCTTATGAAGACTAATCCAATCATAAATTGCACCTCTGCGCCAATCAGAGCGTCCAGAGCCTCCAGCGAATGAAGCTCGAGTGGAGAACTTTGTTGAACTTCATTGTCAGAGCTGTCACTTTTCAAAGCGCTTTGGCGGGCGGGCCACTATAAAACCTCACCTCGAGGGGAAGACCGCGGAAGACTCACCGACGCCCAAGTGGGATCCTTACTTGGGGACTGTTCACTAAGCCCGAGAGAGCACTGCGGGGACGGGAGGGGCGGGAAGCCAGGCGCTTACCCTTCCAGCCACTGGAAAAAGGGTTATTCCCCGCACCGCACCTCCTACCATGATGTTTCCTGGCCTCCTCGCGCCCCCCGCCGGGTACCCTAGCCTCTTGCGGCCCACACCCACCCTGACCCTGCCCCAGTCCCTGCAGTCAGCATTTTCTGGCCACTCTAGCTTCCTGGTGGAGGATCTGATTCGCATTAGCCGGCCCCCTGCCTACCTACCCCGCAGTGCGCCCACAGCCAGCAGCGTGTCGCCGCCCAGGCAGGGACCGCCTACTGCCCTCTCCGACACGAGGGCTTCAGACCTGGGCTCCCCAGGGCCTAGCAGCCGGCGGGGCAGCTCTCCGACAACGACACTCTCCTCTGCCAGCGAGTCCACGTTTCTGAAGTTTGGGGTGAACGCCATCCTGTCCTCAGCACCCAGAACAGGTAAGTGAGGGCATGAGCGCTAAGGGCTGGTTTTGGGGAATGCCTTGGACCCATTGCTCGGCCTCAGTTTTCTTTTCAGAGAGGGTACACACAACCATCCTTATGTGTAGGCAAGAACTCCAAGACCCCAAGGCGGGCAAGAGGAAACTGAGGGACAGCCAACTTCAGGGAAGATAAACAGTCTAGCCCGGCCTTTGGCTCAGGATGAACTTGAGCGCGAGCAGTGCTTCCGGCACTGACTGAGCTGAGCGCACGCCCAGCGCACCTGCGCATGTGCCCCTGAGCTTCTTGAAGACTGTTGCTGTAGTTGTTGTTGTTGTTGTGTGTGTGTGTGTGTGTGTGTGTGTTTTAAGGAAAAAAGCTGTTTATAATTACTGCAACAGTTGGTACTCTGGGTTTGCATTTTTCCCCTCCTCTCAAATCCTATGTATCTTCTCATTACCCAGAATGGCGCTTGGGGGAGGGGGTGATAAGGAAGACGCTTTAGGGACGGGGAAAGAAGTATTCCCACAGAAGGTAACAAAGTTAGAAAGATATGCTGCCAATACTTGAAGGACACTTTTGAAACCAGCAGAAGGGTTGTGTCACAGGTGCAAGTGTTTTACGATGCTCGGTATGTGATCAGATTTCCTTTCTGCCCTCCCTCCCCTCTAGAAGCATCCCCTGCCTTGCTCCAGAGCGGCCCTCCCAAGACCTTCACTTTCCCTTACTTTGAAGGTTCCTTCCAGCCTTTCATCAGATCATCTTATTTCCCAGGTAGGTCTGATCCCCCTCCTTCGCGCGAGGCTGGGCTGTGCCCCAGCCACAATGCGGCGCTCCCCACCCCGAAGCCGTATTTCTCCGTCCACCCCTAGGGTTACGATCTGGTTCAGAGGTTGCGTGGCGTACGACATTTGCGAATCCGTCGCGCCAATTTGATGCCCTATTTAGCACAAGCAGTGACTGCTTGACACTTTGCACCAATTCCCTGCTCTACAAATTAGCAGGAATTGTCATGGTCCCAATTTGAGGCGGTTCCCTTCCTGGCGAGGAGCTGTTGGCATCCCTTCACGCCGACGTTTTCCCACAGAGTCAGTGCGTTTGGCCACGATTCGCCACAAAGGTTTCAGCACCATGACCAATTGGTCAGCTCCTCCGGGCAGCCACACACAGACCGGCCCTCACCCCTCCACGCCGCCAGAGACACCTACCAGCCGGGGCTAATTTCTCTTTAAGACTCATTCAAGGCTTGGGGCTTTTCACAAGACCACATGGGGTGTCCGCTTGTGTGGGGTGCCTGGGGTCGTCCAGGGGGAAGACAAGACTCTTCCCCAACCCTAATCTACTTCCAACCAGTAAGCCGTCGGTTTTCATTACCTTCGGTTCCTCCACTGCTGGTATCTTTTACAGATAAAACATCAGTTGATAAAACATCAGAGGGAATGCAATATGAAGCACAGTCTCAAGCAGGAGCACCTTAAGCCTCTGCTAAATTTCATTCTGCAGTCTGTGAACTCAAAGGGTGACTTGGTAACTTCAACTGGTCACAACTCCTGGAGCTGAGTAGGGCAGCCTCTAGGCAGAAATGAGACTAGGCATGGTCCTTGGGAAAGGGGTGAGGCCAGGATAGCCTCGGAGTATGAGGAGGGAAAGGAGCAATTGATTTTTAAAGGAGAGAGAACTCACCAATTGCCACCCCAGGCTGCTGCTGATAATGGAATTTGCTCCCTTTCTCCCTCATCTCAATGCTCTAACAAAAACAACCCGAGCTTTATAAATAGCTTTTCATGTCCATTTAATGAAAATGATTCAGCGAAGAGAAGCCTCTGCCATCAGTATTCTCCCAATAGGCTTGGCCTGCAGTTGTGTTTAGTTTGAAAGTGTAAATCTCTTTTGTCCCAGTAATATAGGGCTTTCGCTGCTTGTTCTCAGTCTTTTTCTGTTAGTTCATTACTACACAATTACCATTCACGCTTCATTAGAGGCTCTGTTTCTTTTTCGGGGGTTTTTTTCCCCCTCTCCCTTACAGGGAAACTCTTCCCCTTTTTATCATGCCAATACCCATTGGGAAGCGGTCAATGTGCTAATTAGTTGCCACTTTTCAAGTATTCGTGCCGAATTCTTTACGTTTTGTGGGGGAGGGGATGAAAGATTAATATTTAAAAGATGATACTGATTGGAGGCTTCCAAAACAACAACAAAAAATCTAGAATGGATTCGCCTCTGTCGATTTTTCATCTAAAGAATGCAAAGGCCAAATGGTGATAAAAATTGCCGGTGGAGGATGGGGCCAGAGGGTGGAAATGTGTTCTCAGCTGGATATTTAATTCCTCCGTGATTTACTTTCCCCCTCCTGTGGCTGTTTTAGCTGGTGCACGCCGGTTTGTTTCTGTAAAGCTGTTGAATGGAGAAATAAAATAGACTGCGGTTGGGATTTTTGTCTGTTTCCGTGCTTCTACCTAATTTCGATCTGCACGGTTGAAAGAGAAAGTTATTTGGGCAGAAGAGCGTTCGGTCTTGCAGGTTCGTGGTCTATTCTCCAGTGGGAGGTAAGGGGGAGTGCTTTAATGAGATGAAGGAATGAGAGAGAAAGGACAGAGAAAGCGGTGTTGGATGGCGCCGGGGTCTCTGTAGGGGACCCCGCCCACTCAGTGGCCACCTCCTTTGCTGCCCCCCTCCGTCCCCCTTGCAGCATCCTCGAGCGTTGTGCCCATCCCTGGGACCTTCTCCTGGCCGCTGGCCGCCCGTGGCAAGCCGCGCCGGGGCATGCTGCGTCGCGCCGTGTTCTCCGACGTGCAGCGCAAGGCCCTGGAAAAGATGTTCCAGAAGCAGAAGTACATCAGCAAGCCCGACCGCAAGAAGCTGGCGGCCAAGCTTGGCCTCAAGGATTCACAGGTGAGAGCATCTTCCCCCCAGGTGGTGCCCGTCAGTTGTGAGGGGCTTCTGACACCACTAGGTCCCATTGTGCAGAATGAAAAACTGAATCCCAGAGAGGGCGGAGATGCCTGGGCAAGCATCTTTGAGGCTTCTCTCTGCCAGGCCCATCCTGCCTGCGTGTCAGAGGGTGGAGGCTCGGGAGTTGGGAGTCGGGGAACAGAGAGCTCCAACAAGGAAAGAGGGGGCATCCTGCAGCCACAGCCCCACAGCAATCGTTCTCCCTGTACTCACTGGTGGCTTCTCCATTGCCCTCCATACCCGGGCGCTGCAGGTGAAAATCTGGTTCCAGAATCGACGCATGAAGTGGCGAAATTCCAAAGAGCGTGAACTCCTGTCCAGTGGCGGCTGCAGGGAACAGACCCTCCCCACCAAGCTCAACCCGCACCCGGACCTCAGCGACGTAGGTCAGAAGGGTCCAGGGGACGAAGAGGAGGAAGACGAAGCCCGGGGTAGCCCCAAGCACCGGCTGGCCCTCCACATGTCCCCCGACCCTCTGCACCTACGGGACCAGCGACTCCAGGGACCAATACCTCCATCACCGACGCACTCCGGCAGCCCTGGCAAACCCTCGGACTTCTCCGACTCGGAGGAGGAGGAGGAAGATGGTGAGGACGAGGAGGAAATAACAGTCTCCTAGAACGGCTCAGGTGCCCAATACTGGACTCCGGTGCTTTGGAACTAAAGTTCGATGCAGTCTGCGCCAAACACTTGGTCTCCACTGCCCCAGATACTAGCTGCTCCTCACCGCACGGCCTGGGGCAACATAACCTTCTGGGGCTCCAGGGTCACCAGATACCACTTCCAAGCAACCTTTCTTCCTTAAATTTAGGTCCTGGCCTCAGACTTAACTCCCCAGCTAAGGTTCCACTCTATTTATTGCAAAAGCTTTGCAACTCTGTGGAGGGAAGGAGGAGGTGGTCTGGGACACACCTAGAAGCCAGACCCTGCTGGTCTTTGGCTCCCACATGCTCTCGGTGGTAAAGAGGACAACCCAGGTAGGAGTGGAAACACCAAGTGCATATCCAGCAGTGAGCCCCCTGACACTCTCCTAGCCTACACAGCAGGTGCACTGCTTCCCTGCCACACAGTTAGCACCCGTATTCTGCCTTCCCCATCTTCCCATAGCCAATCCTTTAGGCAGTGTGAGGATTTCAAAAAGACCAAACATCTATCTGCGCCTCTCCTCTAAGGCACACTGTGAATACAGAGTCTTTTTTCTTATTTCCCAAATGCTTTGACTGGGGAAGTCAGCCAGTTTCTTTTCATTCAGCATTTGCAATACAAGGATGGAGCATCCTGTTAGGAGCCCTCACATTTTGTTGCTTCTGGGAGGTGATAACCAGTGTCCTAAAACTGGGCATTAATATGGACAAACACAGAGGCTCCAAGCCTCTTGGTCTTTTTAATTTTTTCTTTTTCACTGAACTTTGCTGTCTTTGCACAGCTCTTACGAACTGTATTCTATTTTGTACACATGCTGTATGGCTGTTTTATACCAAGGTTATTGTGAATAACTAAAACAAAAAAAGACTGCCTAGGGTTTCTTTTCAGTTTTGCAATGATTTTTTAAACTTAAAAAGGTGGCTGTTTAATTGTATAACTTATACAGAAATATTTTGTATCTTTACCATGTACAGAATTTTATATATGTATATATGTATCAAAGGAACAAATGTCAAATAAAAAGTAGAATGGATACAGTGGCTCAATGATGTCATTCATTCACTGGGTGTAGAGCCAAAAGGAGGTTTGCTATTCTAGTCCAAGTGCTGGCTTTCACAGGAGGCTGTTGCGGTCACTTGGGGAGTAAATCAATGGATGGAAGATCTTCCTCTCTGTCTCTCCTCCTCTTTGTATATCTGACTTTGCAATAAAAATAAATAAATTTTTTAAAAAAGACTAGCCTTCTGGCAGGAACACAGTATTTAACCAGCAATCTCGGCGGTAAAGAGCTTCAGGTTACAGTCCTGTAGTGGCTCTTGTGCCCTCTGAGTGGTCTCAGTGCTGTCAATCACACAAACATGAATGTCTTGATGATTCCAACACATACTCCAATAATCAGAAAAAAAGTTATCCAGCTTAATTTTGGCAGTTGTATTTGAAGTTTGAATATATTCCATTAAAAACCCTTTTCAAATAACACAATCCCTGATATTAGTGACCATTGTCTTTGTGATGGCTTATATGCAAGCAGGAGAGGCCAAGAAAAAAATTTCAGATCATAGTAGTATGAGAAACTTCCCACACTTCTGCCTCCACACATATGAAAATGTTCAGTATGGTCAGCGTTTAGTCCAAGTTAGAGCTTGCTTTCAAATGGAGAGTTCTCAGCTCTGCCTAAGTCCATCTGTTTTCTACTTCTTTTATGCTGGCAGATCGATGCAGTTGCTAGTTCTTCCATAGAGACAAAAACTATTTGCACCCATTGATCAGGGTCAAGATCCAAGGCCAAAGTCCTGTAGAAGTACCCTGGTGCTCACCACAGCATCACTCAGGATATCCCAGGGGTGGGAACAACACAGAGGCCCTTACTGTGTGACTAGATAAGTCAGAGGTACAAGTACACAAGGGCAGGCTATTATTCCAAAGAAGGCAATTCTAGCACATGCTATCGTGTAGATGAAACTCGAGGACATCATTCTAAGTGAAATAAGGCAATCACAAAAAGACAAAAATTACATGATTCCACTCATGTAAGGCATCTTAACTAGTCAGAAAAAAAATAGGAGGGGGATCTGTTGCACATCAATGTGAATATATTACTCAATTGTACACTTAGAATGGCTATGATGGTTTCATTTGTTACATGATTTTTGATACAATAGAAAACTTTACTGGAAAAAAAATAACTGCTAAAACATATAAATATCATTCCACAGTCATAGTGTAGCAAGCACATAAAAAGAAATAAGCATAAGACATTGTAAAATTCAAAGTAGGAAACATTACATGAGATGGTGTTTTCTGCAAAATCTCTTGTGGTAGGATGGGAAGGCAGGGGGCGAAAGTTGTGCCTGGGACAGCATATCCCATATTGCAGTGCCTGAGTTGAAGTCCTGGTGCCATTCCTGATGTCACCTTCCCTCCAATGCTCCAAGCAAGTTGCAGAAGATGGCTGACATTTTGTCATTTGCGTGGGAGACACAAGTGGAGTCCTAGGCTCCTGGCTTCACTCAGCCTAGGCTCGGGATGCTGGCCATTTGCAGTCAAACAGCAGGCTAAAGATCCCTTGCTCTCTCTCCTTCCTCTCTCATTTTTATTTATTGGAAAGGTAGATAGGTCTTCCATCTTCTGGTTCACTCTCTAAATGCTCACAGCAGCCTGAATTGAGCCAGCAGCCCAGAAATCAATCTGCAGGAACTCAAGACTGGAGCCACCGCCTGTTGCCTTCCAGCAGGAAGCTAGAATCCCAAGTAAAGCCAGAATGCAAATCCAGACACATTCATATGGATATGGTGTACCAAGCATCATCTTAATCACGCCACCAAATGTTCACCCCAAACAAAGGGTTTCAAAAATGTTAGCAAAAGATGTGAAAATCCAGAAAATGCAGAGGAAATACTCAGGAGATAATTTTTGAATGTCTACCCGTCTTAATTTTTTTAGGTTTTATTTATTTAATTTCAATTTATGACACCATTTCCTAGGCTCTGGGATTCCCCAACTGCTCCCCATGTCCTCCCCACATGATGGATTCCTCCATATTGTTGCAGTATTACAGTTTGAATCCAGTCATTGCTCCTATATTGCAAGCATGTACCATGCATAGAGTCCAGCATCTTATTGTCCAGCTAAATTCAACAGTTTCTTGGGGAGACCATCTCTGGTCTGAAAGTAGAGCTGGCAGAATACATCCCCTCCAATGAAAAGCCACAGCTTAACATCAACAACAATTTACAACATTATGGAGTTAATTGACAATGGTATTGAGTGACCAATATGTTAGAAAATGCAAGTTTTTCTTTTTAAAGATTTATTTATTTTTATTACAAAGTCAGATATACAGAGAGGAGGAAGAGACAGAGAGGAAGATCTTCCATCCGATGATTCACTCCCCAAGTGACCACAATGGCCGGTGCTGCGCTGATCCGAAGCCGGGAACCAGGAACTTCTTTCTGGGTATCTCATGCAGGTGCAGGAACCAAGGCTTTGGGCTATCCTCGACTGCTTTCCCAGGCCACAAGCAGAGAGATGGACGGGAAGTGGTGCTGCTGGGATTAGAACCAGCGCCCATATGAAATCCTGGTGCATTCAAGGAGAGGGCTTTAGCCACTAGGCCACACCGCTGGGCCCAGAAAATGCAAATTCTTAACCACATCCTGTGACTACTTCGTTGACATGTCAATTTTAGTTTATCCACATCCTGCTGTTATACATCTTATACTGAGCTTGGCGGATTTTAGGATAGTCCCAATTGGTTTATAACTCTAACCAGGCATATGTTAACAATTGAGGCACAAAACAGTTTTAGCAGGGTTGTGCAAGAAATTTTCAACATCTTACTGAGGAGTAACTAATCTTTGTGTCCTACCTAGTAAGGTGAGCCCAAGCTGATTATTTCCTGTCTGGTTCTAAGCTTTCCTTATTGGTCTCTGTCTATCTAATCTAGTTTTAATTTTTTTGGTTGGGGGGTACACCAGAGTAACCCTACTGGTCATGGCAAGAGAGGGTGGAGATCCAAAGTTGGAACTAAGTAAGGACCAGAGAAAGCTCCTCTCCCGAGTTCTGAAAGAAGCCTACTGTTCTGTTCCTGAGGACCACTCGGGGCTCCTGGCTATTGTTCCGATGACATATGTCTTTCAAATTCCCCACACCTTCCTTCTGGAGCAGCACAGAAGCTGTTTTGATTCCTTAGTCTCTCTCTCAGCTGGGCTTCACCAAGTGAGGACCTCGTCTGCTTCCCCTAATGTCTCCTAGTGTCATTAGAGTCCCTTACGTTCATGAGGGACTTGGCATGTTGGGTGAGTAAATGAATTAAGGAGGGACAGAGATGCACTAGACCCCAAGTCACCTGTCTAGAAGCTGTAAACCCTTCAAACCAATGGAAGGATTAAACCCATGAAAAAAGAAAATGAAAGAAACCAAACTGGTAGATCAGACGTGCTTTTAAGAAAATGAAACCAGGGCCTAGCACGGTAATCTACTGGCAAGGGTCCTTGCCCTGCACACATCAGGATCCTATATGAGCTCCAGTTTGTATCCCAGCTGCTCCATTTCCTTTCCAGCTCCCTGCTGTGGCCTGGGAAAGCAGTTAGAAGATGACCCAAAGCCTTGGGGACCAGTACCTGTGTGGGAGATCCCCAAGAAGCTCCTGGCACTTGGCTTCAGATTGGCTCAGCTCTGGCCATTGTGGTCACCTGGGGAGCAAAACAGCAGATGGAACATTTTTCTCTCATTCTCTTTGTAAGTCTTTGTAATTGAAAGTAAATAAACAAATAAATCTTTTAAAAGCTCAAACCAATAATTTTTCACCCAAAAGACTGAACTAGCTATAGTCATGAGCCAGTGAATACGAAATGAACAGTCAAGAAGAAAAGAAAAGGAGCTTCCATTGTGCACCTGTTGCCTGGCAGGCAGGCAGTGTGCTAGGCGCCTAACATCACGGCTTCTCGCTTGTCTCAGATAGACCTGCTGGGA